AAGACGAGAAGAATTGTGTCTCTGGAGAGGCAAAGGTGGCGCCCTGCTTCCCGTTCAGTTATTACAACACTCCAAGTGATTAGGAGACATGATCAATTCCAGGAGCAGCCACAGTTGCCAGTGTGAGGGAAAGCGAAAGTGAACAATTTCTCAAACTAAACAGATTCAATTAAATGTATTTTTCATTCATTAGAAAAAAGAGCAGGGCTTCCTTTGTTTCATTAGTATATTTAAGTAGAGTATGGATTTTTGCCTTCCTTGGCCTCTTTGTCTTGTTCCCACTGGCCCAGGCTGTCTTTTTATTTGAATTACCTGTTTATTATATTAGGTTAAGAACCCAAAGGCCATTTTGCATGGGACGCACTATAAATACCCATTAGCGCAGTTGTATATTCTTGAGCTGATGAAGGAAGACAATTTATGAAGAAATTAGATTACCTGGGTTTTTCTCTAATCTATTTTATCATAGTCTGAGGATTACGTATGTAGTTAAGGAAATGAACCCACTCTCCCAGTTGGCGGTTCCTCCCAGCTCTGTCTACACAGCTGGCTGTACCACCAGGGCAAACTACAACATGGAAGCCAATGTATTTTATGTCAGCCATCTTCCCACACCCTCCCCACGTGCACACACCTGTTTCATTCATCATTTTGACAGTTTGCACAAGCAAACTGTCCTCATTTTTTTTCAAGCTCTATTCACAAATGGAGTGTGATGTAGAATCAATCATACCTGTTAGGCAGGAGTTGGAGGGTGTCCATCGCGACGGGCTGTTGACACCCCTCAGCACCCAGCTTCCTCTGCATCGCATCACTAGGATTTCTCACCCAATCGTACCCCCTTCCCTCATCGCAGAGGAGCCTGTGTTCTGATCTGCCTTCTGCTAAGTGAAGTTTGGCTCTTCCTCCTGCGTTCAAAATACCCCTTCCATATATTACAACTTTCCTGCATTTTCTTAACAGCAAGCCATCATTATTGTACTTACTGTTCTTTTGTCTTCTTGGGAAGTCTCCTCCTAACCACTTCTCTCCCTTCCTCTCCACCTCCTCCTGACTATCTTTAAAAATAAAATATTGTTAGGAAGACATTTTTAAACACCAGCTTCAAATAGAAAGTGCTGCACATAATCCCAAAGAAGCGGCAGGTGTCCTGTTGGCTAGTCTGCATTTTACTTAGAAATGTTCTAGAACAACGTGACATGGGAAAAGGATTAAAAAAATAGTTTGCAGTCAAAATAACGGACAAAACTTCGGTGCAATTTTTTTTTCTAATTGTAGACTTGCAACATGAGGATTTTTACAAAAAAAAAAAAATGTATTTTTTTGTGTCAACTGGTATTTTACTCAGGAGGAGAAAAATCCACTGTAGTTAACCATTTGGGCCTAAAATCCAGCTCTGAACCCCAATGCTGGTTTTCCCCCTCTTTCCTGTTACACAAGAAAACAGTCTGAAAACTGGAGCCCAGTGCTATAATTGTGAAGATGCTGTTAGATAAATATATACTGCTCTGCGCTGCTGTACTTTAAAAATTATATAGATGCTGACAGTTTAATGGAAGAAGTAGCATTTATATCTCAAAAGCATGTGGGCGGCCCTGACAAATATTCATTACATAAGCCTAGTGATAGCTGTACTCAAACAAACACGAAGTTGCTTTAAGACAGAGAAACTTCTTAAACTTTTTCCACCCACATAGACCCTAAGAAAGTGGACCTTTACTGTGATTCTCAGCCTAAACCTTCAATAGCATGAAATCTCATTTTCCTAAAAGAGCTTTGCTGTGGGGATCAGAAACACGTGTTCCCATCCTGACTCGGTGGCTAGCCAGCTGGGTGACTTGGGACGGATCACTTCCCATTCCAAGTAGGGAAGCTGACTTTGTTGCCCTGTGCAAAGCTAGGGGGTTAAAACCCTCTGAGTTGTTTTGTGATTCTATGCTTTTGGCTCCGATATAACAGTATCCTACCTTCATTTCCAACTGAATATTGACCAAATATTACCCCAAATTTTTATATTATAAAAATTGTTTTTTTATTGTCAATGTCTGTGTTTGGAATAAAGATTCATGGCCCTGCTTTATAGTTCTGTGTTAACTGCCTACTCCCACCCTCCACAATGAAACAGCCTCAAAAAACCTTGTAACAGCGCTCAGGGATAACAGAGCAACTGGGAGAGGGGGAGAATGTTAAGGTTTTTGTGGGTTCCTATGTAGACTATAAGATTTTGTGGGGTCTTATAAGAATTTTTCTGCTCTATTTGTAGTGAAGTAATTGAATACATTATTTTAATTACAAAATTACTGAACAAACAATCTTTCTGATTAAGTTAAAAAGTGAATTAACCTTAGTAACCTAGAATCTCATAGAGAATTGCACAGAATCTATTGGTTTTTTTGGGAGGCACATAGACATTTATTCACTCATTGATTTATTCAAAATTTGTTATACATATAATTTGTATGTGTGTGTGTATGTGTGTGTGTGGGGGGGGGGAGAGAGAGAGAGAGAGCGAGGGAGAGAGAGAGAGATCTAAAGAAGCCAGGCCCAAAGGAGCTCAGAGCCTTCTAGGAGAGAGAAGTTATTATCTGAAGATGCACAAGGGAAGGAGGTGGATATTGAGAGAAGGGTGAGGAATTAGAATTCTGGTGTGAGGAGAGTGAGGGCTTTCCATGTCAGTGTGAGAGGGTCTGGCACATTCTAGGTGCTGAATAAATAGTCACTGAGTGAATAAGTGAATGAAAATGAGACACACGAGCCAGCATCATCAGGTCACGTGACATGTAAGGTTTGGTGTGATGAAAACTGTGAAGCAAGGAGACACGCACGTCCCTAAGTGGGTTTTACCTGGTAGACGGCAAGAGGAAAGAAAAAGTTTAGGAGGACCAGGACTGGTCATCAACCCGAACAAGCATTGCCGTGGGGCCCAAATACACAAAACAGGAGCAGTTTTGCTTGCTTTGTGCCATAGAGTGAATGTTTTCCCCTCAGAATTCACACGTTGGAACTAATCCCCAATATGACGGGGTCTGGAGGGGCGTGGAGTCTTTGGGAGATGATCAGGTCATACGGGTGGAGCCCTTGTGAACGGGATTAGCGCCCTTATGAAAAAACCTTCTAGATCTCTATATCTATTTTTTTCTCTCATCGAGTTGCAAACTGCAAACCGATAAGCTTGACTCCTGCGACTCAAAGAAAAGACCCCAAAGAGCTAGGTAGAAGTCCTCCTCTGTCATGGATGATGGCAATCCTGGCTAGAAGGTGGCCACCTACAGACCAGAAAGCAGACTCTCGTTGGATACCAGCTGAGCCAGCACATTGATCCTGGACTTTCCAGCATCCAGGGCTCTCTGGAGAAATAAGTGCCTGTTGTTTATAAGCCACCAAATGATGCTATTTTGTGATGGCAGCCAAACAGACGAAGACACTTTATTAAATTTATTGTGGCATAGAGAAAAGAAGATGGTTTTTAGCAGAAGAAGGACCTGGATTCAAAATCACATTCTAATATTGATGAGCTCTCTGAGCTTCAGGTTTTTCGTCGGCATGGACTCTTGTTCCTCCATCGCAGGGGTCAGGAAATCCAGCTCAGGGACATGAACTGATATGCTTCTAGTGAGAGTGGGACCAGGCTGAGCTAGAGTCTCTTGCGAGGACACCCAGAGCCTGCCAGCAGTACCACGGTGGGGGGCATGTCGATCGTGTGTTGTTATGTCTTAGAAAGAGCCAGCTGGACCTGAGTTTGAATCCTGAATCTTTTACCGCCCAAGGGTTTTCAGTCACTTGTGTCTTGCTAAGCTTCGGGTTCCTTATTTGAAAAGCAGGTGTTTTACTATCTACTTTATAAGGTTGTTGAGAAGATCATAATGATGAAATAAGAAAATGTACGTCAAGAACCCGTCGCTTGGAGGCGCATGAAATGATAGCTAGTTTTACTCTTCTTAATTGGGAAGCCCCAGTTTTAGAGATCTTCTGGTCTGATATCACCCCAGTGCTTTATTAATTAATGCTGTTCCTTAGTGAATGTCAGATGAAGGAAGCTCCTGTGGCTAAATGAGCTCAGGGAGGGTGGGGGAAGCCACCTGAACGAGGTTCTTTTCTACAGAACTTATTTAATAAGCTACTGGATGATGGGACTCTTCCAGAGTGGGATTTGTACTCGCATTTCTGAAGTTCATTTGACTATAGAATTCTCTCTAGTGGACCACATCCTGCGACTAATGTTCCGTAGGACACACTGAGACATGCCAATCTCACCAAGTATCTGTCTTTGACAGAGGAGACAGATGCAGCCTGAGTGCCCAGCAGACACGTAGCAGGATCAGGACCAGCACCAGGCTTGCCTGACATCCTGGGTCCCCCTGAGCGGACACCACTTGGTCTTAGCAAGGGTTCCTCCCCCCTCCACTCTAGGGTCTGCCACGGGTCCTAGGAGGGTTAAAGCTGGGGACAGAGAGTCTGGGTAGCACCAAGAAAGGAAGGCAACCATGGAGGATCTAGTTAGAAAACATACAAGCAAAGATAAAAGGGAGATTTGGGATGACAACACCAAGCAAGCAAGCCAGTGAGTCCCAATTACAGCCTGTTCGCTTCTCGTTAAGGCCCCGAATCCATGAGGGGAAGATACTGAATTGTACACTTAGAGCCAGAGTATCAAGCTAAAGAGACCAAGGAAAGGCAGCCTGTTAATATTACAACTGCAGCCCAGTCACACAGCCATTTGCAGCCTGTCCATATTTTACTGACATGAGCAATTACATGTCCTGTAATGACAATGAAGCAATAAAATTTATGTCTTGTCATCTTTAACAAGATTAGACATAACCCTTCTCATAAACGTAATACTGAATGGAGATTTTTAAGAACATAAGTATAGTTAAGGATCCTTGCGTTTATCCCTCATAGTTAATTAAAATCCTCCCCAAGAATCGGCAGATGATAGATATTGGGACGTGGAGCCTTTGAATCCATGGAAGGGGGCCCTAAGAGATTTTTTTCCATACCTTGCTCGGCTTCAGCTGGTGTGGTGACTCCCAACATCTGTACCACAGAGATTTCAGAAGCGCGGCGAAGGGAGTGACGCCGATCCCCGCCGCGATGCACACGCTCACCGGGTAGTGAAACACGTCGGTCAGCGGTGCCCCGAACGGCCCGTCCACGGCCAGCCTGCAATCACAAAGGCCAGCCCGTGCGGCGTTCAGGACACTCTGCTCCTGACACCGCGTCCCAGGAAACCAGTGCATTCGATGCAGTGTGTCCACAGTGCACGCGGGGAGGGTGGCTCTGCGCTGGCGGACGCCCTCTTTGGAGAGCTGGGGCTCAGCGGGACGGTGTGGAGGCCTCTCCTTCCTGTGCACGAAGGGCAGCGCCTGACCTCTCCAGCTCGGGTTCACGCCTCTTCCATGGGGCACCTCCCCTACCGTTTTCAGAAGCTGGTTTTGGCTCCAAGCATCATGAAGCCTGGCGGGAGAAGGCTTTTCTTTCCCTTTATTTTCCTAGCTGCCGCCAGAGAAACAAAGCAGAGGCCTCAAGGGGGGTTATAACAGGTTTATTTGCCCTTTTGTTGATAGATTTCTCCCCCGTTTTTATTTATTTGATCTCACACCTCAGTACTATCTATTAATATAGTTTTAGCCTCATGGAAGCCGTTAGTTTGAAATAAAAAATTTTTAAGATAATTTGTCAGTTAGGTGCAATTTCTAAAACTTGTTATTTTAGATTATGCAAACTCAAAATCTGTAACAATTAGGCCAGGGAGGCACTGATGTGTCTTAGCTCAGCAAATTTCTCTCTATAAGGAGAAAGCATATTCACTGAATAAATATCACTGCCTTTACCATGGTCCTAAATGTACTGGCTTCTGGATTCTACTCCAGTTCCCATGATTAGCTCTCCGCACTGGTTTTTCTTTCATTTCCTAAAATACGCAGCACCCCATTCTGCCACGGGGACTCTGTGCATCATAATCCAAGTAATCACCTGGAACCCCGGCCCCAGTTTCCCCCCTACCTTGGTTCATAGTTGCTCTTTCATTAGGTCGTTTCCCACTACCCCGGGGAAGGTTCGCGGAGCCCCTCACACCAGTTAAATCGCTTCTTATATAATTTACAACACCACGTGTCCCTCCCCTGTCGTCCTTACCATGGTTGTAATTTTACACTTGTTTTGGGGTGCGTGCGCATGATTGTTTTGTGTCTGTCTTTGCCTGTTGCTGCATTCCAGCACCTTGCGCTCTCCAGCATGTAATTGTTCAATAACAGTTTGTTGAATAAATTGTAGAGGGAATGTTTAAAAGGTTTCAGTCAGCAATTTGTATTTAAAAATGCCAACTATTCCAAAAGCATACATTTACATATGAACAAAGATATGCTAATGAAAAGGGTTCTAAGTTATTCATAACTCTTCCCCAAGGGGTGTCTGTTGAAGGCAACCCAGGTTCACCCATTTGGGCTTACGATGTGCCATGACAGTTCAATTGGGTTTATTTAAAAATGTTCCATATGCCAGACCTCCTAATAATTCAGATGAACCCTCCTCAAGTTAATCTTAATTAATAAGGCTTTATTACATATTGATATATGGAAATGAAAGAATAAAAATAAAAGGTCATTAACCAGAAAGGGTTAGTATCGCAGCCTACTGCAGATTATTTCATAAATAATTAGATAAGGGAAAGTGAGAGAGAAGGCGAAAACTCCATGGATTAATATGTCCTATCGGTAATTGTTTTTATAATTAGTCATATCTGAAATTTATTTGACACTGATTTGAAAAGATAACAATTAAATCCAAAGAAGAATTGTGTCATATAATCCACACAAATACATAATACACAAATTTCAACATAATTAGAATTGAGAACCAAGACCAGAAGTGGCAGGAGAAAATATTCAGTCCAACTTCCGTGCTAATATAGTAATCCTTCCTCCCACATCCCTGGTGGCAGACACTTTCTGATTTTATATTGCAGGGCGCCTGGTCCACTTAGGGGCTGCTCTAAGAATAAGAGAGTTTTTCCTCATGGCTCACTGAAATCTGTCTTCTGACAGCTCGCCCCTTCTGTCTTCTCGAGAAACACATTTCAGGTCTTTTCTCTTCCCTGCATTTCAGGCCTTTATTATAGTTGACTGTAACTATCATGACACCCTAATTACTCTTTTTGGGCCAAAATGTCTTCATTCCTCAAGACCTCTCGCCATCTCAAACCAGCTTCCTCTGCCTAAATTCTTTTTTGTGTTTGTTCCATTGTAGTGCTAATCACTTTTTAAATGAATTTGGTTTTTGAAAAAATGTTTTGGAGTGACATTGGTTAATACATTATATAGTATTATATTGTACATCGGGTGTACAATACATGCTTGTCAAGTTCACTCAGCTACTTCCGGTTTGATTTGGATGCAGAGAATTTCTGACAGCGCAGCACAGCGAGCGATCTGCCTGTCCAGCATCCGCATCAAACTGCCCCTGGTTGCTCAGGGTCGCAGCATCCCCCGCCCACCTCATCAGCATCTCCTCTTGTCTCGTTCACCCGTGACTTTTATTCATAGAAATGGTTTCCTTATTGAATCATCACTTTCACTATCATCTCTGTGGTAAGTGACGTTTCTTATTTTGCTAATGTTAATAGTTAACGTTTCAAAATTATACATCATGCTAAGGGCTTTATATGGACTGTCACATTTAATCTTAAACAAAGCCTTAGGCACTATTATTATTGTCTTTCTTTTACAGATTGGGACACTGAGGCACGGTGGTACGGATGTTTTCCAGGGTCACATACACAGTTGGGCTTTGAACCCAGGCTGTGTGATGTTGGAGCCTCGGGCTCCAGGCAAGCCGGTTAAATTGCTAAAAACTCCAGAATCAAGAAGTTCTTCCTCTTACTTGACCATCTTACTGCAGAAGGTCAAGTTTGCTAAAAGAGCTCATGATCTTGCCTTTTCTCCTGGGCTCAAAGCAAGGCTCTTTGTCCTGCTCCTTTGCCTGCCCTTTGCCTAGGTTTGCTTCTCCTCTGGGCTCCTTAGTCACTGATTCCTGGGCCTGAATTTAATCCTTTGGGATCCAAAAGCAGTGAGCACTTATGGTGCTCTCTCCAAAGTCTTTGATTTAATTAAAAAATAAAACACCTTTGAGAAGTAAAGTCATCCAAGGAAGTCCAACAATATTCTGGTTCTTTGTGGATGGAAGATATAAGCAAATTCTAGTTTTTTTGCTTGTTCGTTTTGTTTTACTGCTAGTATGTGTGTGGATACATACATATCTGTTCAAAGGAATTGAACGAATGAAGGGAAGCTGCACTGTTTAGAACAACTCATTTTCATTCCTTCCATACGTATTTATTGATGCCAACTAAGAGTCAGAGCCTGTTCTAGCTACTGGGAACACTGAAGTGAACTAAAGAGATAACGTGCCTTCTCTTATGGAACCTCCATCCTGTGTAGGGAGAGAGACGGTAAACAGATAAACAGACACTGGTGCGCCAGGTGGTGTAAGTCCTGTGGAGAAGAACAGAGCTGGGCACGAGCACCATGACACTGAGCGTCAGCTGGGTTGAGGAGGGAAGGAAAGCATTCTCTAGAGGACATTTAAGCAGAGACTTGGGGGAAGAGGGGAGCAGAGAATCTGAGGAAGAGCATCCCAGGCAGAAGGAATGGCAGTGGCCAAGGCACTGAAGCGAGTGTGCTTGGTGTGCGAGGAAAACAGGAATGGCTGGGCACCCGGGGAGCAGGAGGTGGAGCTCAGGAGCCTCGGGAGGCCTGGGGGTGTTGGTGGGGGGAGACTGTGTCAGGCTCTGCGCTGATGACGTGTTCTGTAGATAGAGAGCACATCGACCTCTGAGAAACACGCTCCAAGGTCTTGCCAGGGGATTGGCTGAAATGCTAGCTGGTCTGTGGAGGGAAAGGTTGCTTAATAGACCAGATAACTGTGTATATCCAGAGCAGAGACCAGGTTCGCAAATGAGATGAAGGGATTGATCTTGGCAGAGGGACCCGTGGTGTCTGTGCGCGTGTGTGTGAATACTTTTATTCCTGATTTTAGGTATTTATACTGCATTCTGAATCTCAAGAGTTCCGTTACATTGCTTCTTTTCCACGAGTTAAAAAAAAAAGGTCTGAATGGAACAGTCAGGGGTTGTCATCAGACTTGGGGCACTGGTCTGGTTTCTATCATACCGCTCTTTAGTACCAGTGCTTGGAATGAAAGGATATGGTTCTTCCTACCCATGGAACACAACCAAGTCCAGGGCTACATAGTTACAGGTCAGTGTCCCACTGGAAGAGAGGCAAAAGGGACACTATGCTGATTAGATTCTGTGCCTCAGATTCCTTCCGGTACCTAGTTTGCCACCTGTAAATACTTGTTAAGTGAGCTAAAACATCCATATTGGGTCCGGGTATTCATTTATTCTTTTGTCAGATATTTACTTTGTACTCACTATGTGTCAGACACTGTTCTAGGTGCTGGCCTACAAAAGAGACCAGACAACACCCACGCTGAGGACGTTCCATTCCAGGTGTGTCTCTACCATGTTCACCACCCAGTTTCCTATGGCAGGGGTGGCTGCTTGGTAGCTCCTAAACTCTCCAAGGATGGAAGGAGAGAGAACATCTTGGCGCTTCTTTTGAAATATCAGTTCTTTCAAAAATGTTTTTCTAAACAATTTGTGGGTTCATGTGTGCGCATGCGTCCCTATTTACCTGGGGCCCTAAATGCAGGCTTCATGTGCTTATCAGGTGACCCTGCAGCCAGAGTGAGAATCAACATTAAGCCAGGGGCTGGTAATTTACACTGTCATGTGCCCCTGCTTTTTTGAATAGGATGCTGTTTTGGATTAAATCATGCCCCCCACGTGATATGTTGAAATCGTAACTGCTTAGCACCTTAGAATGTGATCTCATTCCGATACAGGGTTGTTGTAGATCTAATTAATCAAGTGAAGATGAGATCAGACAGTAGGGTGGGCCCTTATTCCTTATGACTTTATAAGAAGAGAACACAGAAACGCAGAAATGCAGTCACAAGAGGAGAGAACTCCATGTGACAACAGAGGCGGAAACTGGGAGGCTGCAGCTGGAGGCCAGGAAACAAGGCTGCTGGTGGTTCAAGGCTGCTGGTCAACCACCAGCAGCCAGGAAGGAGCGAGGAAGGGTTCTCCCCTCCAGGTTTCAGAGGGAGCAGAGGCCTGTCGATGCCTGGATTTTGGACTATAGTCTCCAGAACTGTGAGAGAATAAATTTCCATTGTGTTAAGCCACACAGTTTGTGGTCCTTCATTCTAATGACCTGAGGAGACTCATCCAGATGGCATTAGTGCTTTTTCAAACTTCTCAGACCTACCTTTTGCACATCTTCCTTGTAGCAAAGTTAAATCATTTGCTTGTGTTAGACCTCCTGATGTCCTAGAGGATAGGGACAATGTTTTGCCATCTCTGTATTTCTGGCACGCAGTGGAGGTGAATCAGTACTCGTTGCGTACGCATACGCCGGAGTGACTGACTGACCGTACCGCTCACTTTCTTGACTCTCAGATCATTTTGTCATTTTATGAGCTTTAGTCTGTCATTGTTAGCTCTTTCTCCAGTGTAGGGAGCCTGCCAGATTAATTCTGACTGTGAAGTATGCAGCTTATGAAGACTGAACTTCACAAATATAGTTTAAAAAGTCAGCCCAACAACAAAAAGTTCACAGGGCTGACTTAGTCATTACAGGCTGCCTGTAATCAACAAAGTGATGTTTGGAGCTAGGAAAGCAAAAGCCTCCTTTTCCCTGCATCATGGCTTGCCTTTGTTGAACACGTTTTTGCTGTTGTTTTTAAAGAAATGTACTTGCTTCTATCAGAAATTTTTTAAATTACAGTTGACCCTCGACCAAAGCTGGGCTAGAGGCACTGGCCCTGCACAGTGGGAAATCCATGCTTTTGACTCTCCCAGAACTTAATGACTGTAGTTTTTTATATATGTTCTCCCATTTAAAAAATAGGCTCAAACTTACCATCTAGAATAAAGATAATGCTAAATTTGGTAGCATGTTGATGCACTAAAATACCTTACTCTTAAAAACATTCCAAATTATATGTAAGAAAGGAACGGGATCCAACCTTGGCAGGCTCTGAGGCTCCCGAGGGGCCTGTCCGTCAGCTTGGAAGGCCTGGCACAGAGCTCTGGTCCAGTCTCCTGCCACCCGGATGTGCACGCTGAAGAAGTCCTCCTGGGGGGCAGACGTGAGGGTGAACGGGTGCCACTCCAGCCGGGATATGGATGGGCACTGGAGCAAGATGTACTGCCCCGGTGCCATTTGAAAGTGATGCTTTTTCATGTGGAGTTCTAGCACCCCAGATGGATGGCTGACCACCTAAATGAGAACAATGGAGGGGTTGGTCTTTTTACTCAGGTCCAGTACTAAGAAAATAGTCTTTGTTACATCAAAAGCTTGCATTTTTAAAATCAGCTTTTTTTGAGGTATAATTTACATACACCACTTGTAATGAGCCTCCAAAGATCTTTGCCATCACTTTCATGTCTAGGTTGACAAATCCAGCAAGAATGAGGTTTATGTCCTTCACAATGAAGTCTGCATTTTGGTAGCTGTGACTGCCTGTCTCAAATGGCGAAGCTTTCCTTAGCACAGTTTACCAGACCCACGAAAATATAAGCTCGACTATCAGGCATTGCACCTAATTGTGCTTAAAATTATTAAAATAGTCACAGAGTCATCTCCCGGTTTTAAAAATACAGGTTCAGTTTTAAATAATATGAATCGTTTCTCAATCCTCTGTGAATTAGTCCTGGTATTTCTTCCTTTTAAGTGGAAAACAATGTGTGAACTCACTCTGAAATGTTTTGTTTTAGTCAAGTCTACTCCGGCGTCCTACCTGTGCTCTGAGTTTTAGATATAGAAAGCATCATGCAAAATTCTTATCCCTTTGAAAAGAACTTTATAACTTGCTGCTTATCAGAGGGAAAGAATTAATTTCCTTTTTTTAGATTCTCATCTTGTTTTCTGAAACATTGCTCCGGGTCCCCAGCTCTTTTGTTGTGGCACGGGGTATAAGGGAACAAAAATCTCGTGTCTAGATTTTGTGACAGTATTTTTCCACACAAAAGAGAATTTCACTGCATTTTAATCATTACGTCTGCTTCTCTTCTCCCCACTGATACTCTTTCTGAATCTGCTGTTAAATTGTCTCCCTAGTAACAGCTTTAGTAGATTTTGAGAAGTTTTACTGTCTAGCTTTTGATACAGCCTCATAGCCTTTGGTGGTAAACTTGAAAACAGCAACACAAAAACAGCTTAAAACAGAAATATGAAGCAATTTCTAGGCTTCTGCTCTCATGAAGACAGTTAAATAGATGTAGTATTCTGTTAATATTATACTAGCAAGGCAGTATAGGTTTGGTTAGCAGAGAATTTCTTTCTAGACATTTAAAAAACAGGGAGCAGAGTATTTGGTACTTCAGTCTCTTGGACTATGTATTCTTGGTCTAGTTGCTCCTGTCTTCCCCTAGCACAAGGGAAATACCGGTGCGCTGTGAGGCGGGTGGGCAAGATTGGAAAATGCTACCCCAGAGCAACCTTACTCATTCCCGAGGGTCTCCTCTTAGGGGTTTCTTTTCTAAGTTGAACCCCTCAGTGCCCCCAACTTTCTCTGAACCAGAGGGTGGCTGTTCCCCCATCTTCTGTTCAGTAATTCTAGGTATGAGTGTATGGGCTTGAAACTGCATGCGTATCACCTGTGTGTTTGCAGAATCTGTGTCTTTTTGTGGTGAAGGAAGTGGTTATACTGCAAGTTGCTATGACCAGTGTAAAGTGCTCTCGGTCCCCCTGCCTGCTTCCCCCCTGGAGACAAACTGAAATTAAAAAAATACAGCTGATTCATGCACTGTCCCATAACCTTTATCAGAAGTCTGTGTACCAGTCTGGAGCCCTGATCCCTGCCTTCAGTAAAATTAGTCACATGAAAAGATGCGCAGGATGCAAGCGATTATTAGAAAAGAAGATGAGCCTTTAAATTACAGACAGTTCTGCAATAAAAATGGCAAATTAAAAACTTGGGCTAATAACAAATTTTCATCTGCGCTCAGGTTTTTATTCCAACATAAAGCTACATGCATACCTTCGTAATGATAACTTCTTGTTGAAATCGCCAGTACCTAATTATTCTTTCACATGCATACAAGACCACAGGACCCAAAACCCACTTCCAAGCCTGCAGAGAGGAAAAGGAAATGAAAATAGAATCCAAATATTTTCAATTTGAACCAAATCAATATATAACATGATGGGGTTTAGACATTTTCCTTTAACTTCGGGCCAGTTGTCAACAACAAAGATCTCCTTTTGTATTAAATACTAGAACATTCAATTATTCCTTGAAGTCTACAAGCTTATTTAAGAGATTAAACTCTTCTGTATTGGCTTTTATGCTTACTTGATCAATGGTACCTTTATGTAATTAGAAATAATTGAATTTGCAGAGAAATAAGAAAGCAGATTGATGTTTATGTTACATATGATAGGGTCATAAATGCTCCCAAACTCAGCCAAAGTCAAAGGCTTACAAAGCTACATCACTGAGCCAGTGTAGGACATAGGGAATTAAATAAAAATATTTTGAAGATAATTTTGGGGGCCAGCAAGGCATCACAACTTGGGGGTCTGCCTGAAGAACCCCCCCTCACAGATATACACGCACACTTGCATGCACAGCCAATGTGATCTGGAATAAAACATAAAATTACTTTCTCAGCATTTTAAATCCATGTTTACAGAATCAGAACAAAAGCCTCAATAATTGTCTGGAGAACTGTGACAGTGAACATTTCCATTTTTACTAGAGTTCATCCTATGTTAACTTTTTCTAAGTTTAAACTGCATGGTCATTTGACCAGCAGGCCATTCCTGTACCAGGTGTTGGTTACAACATAAGGTGCCTTCTTTCCCTAAAAGCAAAGGAAGGAAACAAAATTTTTGAAGCCTTCGCCTACGTCTGATACCAAACAAGCTCATAGGGCACTTGGTACTATCTTTATTTTACAGAAAAGGAAACTGAGGCTCAGCAAGATCAAATGGTCCAGGACCACAAAGGCCGTAAGACGCACAGTAAAGGTGTGAACCCCAACGTGCTTGACCACCTGGGCTGTGCTCTTTCCAGGACCCTCGTGCCTCCCTGGAGCATGTCCGTGTAATCATGTTCTTCCTGTCCAACAGTGCCATTGGTAGTGATGCTTGTTTTACAAAACATTAGAGACATTAAGGCACTAAATTTCAGGATATTGAGTTCTTGGAAATCTAGTCTAATGTTGCATGTATAGAATTGAAAACCAGACTGGGAATGGGTATGAGTTGCATAGGGAGACAGATCCGGATTGCAGAGAGCCAGGGCTGTGATTCAACCCATTTCACAACTTCCCTAAATCCTCTCCCTGGCTTTCTACATCCAGCACAACGCTACCCTGGAATACTCGCCATCTCAGGGGCAGGAAGGACTTCCATGAAACCATCACTGATCGACTCACTCTCTCATTAGCCCTTAGTCCCTTACCCGCTCTCCTAGTCCATCTTTTTCTGGTAACAGGTCACCAGCCCTTCGGCATTCCTCTTTACTTCTGTTATCTTTTTGTTGTTTTTAGTTCTTTTTTTTTGATGATTTCTGCATGTGTTTTTAGGGTACCTCTTCTTACCTACAGCAGCCTTCTTTGCTTTTTCCCTGAGAGTCTCTTGTTTACCTGAACAAGGCTTGATTTATGCAGGCAATACAAAGCAATTTGACCCACTTATTCTTTTCTGCCTCAATGGGGTTCAGTGATATATTCAGAATAGCAGAGAGAAGAAGACCTTTGTCCACCTCTGCTGTCGGTGCAGCCGTGACGACGAGCAAGAGTAAGGGAAAAGGCAGGAGGGGGTAGGCGTGAAGGATGGGGTTGCACAGGGGGATGACTCCACAGGTCGCTTATGCTCAAGTGGATGAAAAGTGGTATTGAGAATTGGTCTGGATATTTACAGAAATGATAGCAAGAGTGCAATTCCTTCTATATAAATTTAGAGAGATATTTGTAAAAACACTCACAAAGCTTCTATGTTTTTTTCTGTTTGTTTGTTTTGTTTTTGTTTTTTTTTTACAAATAATCCTCCATGTACATTGTAGAAAGTGTTAGATATCACAGACTGGATTGGGGTGGTGTCACATCAGTCACGGTTCCTGATTTTCCCATGTTGATAAAATGGAATGGATTAGTTTTCTTTGTGCGACTCGTCAGGAAGGAGAATGTAAGCTATTAATCCTTGGCTCGATCTCTACTCTAGTATATAAATGGCTTCAGGAGGAGAAAGCCCGATTTAGTTCCACTGTACTTGCCCCAGAGCCCCTGGAAGTCATGGAGTGAGGGAGAGGAATGGCCAGAGGGGAATCTCAGAAGATCATCTTAGCAGCCATGACCAACGCAGACAGGGTGAGGGAAGTCACGGAGGCCACGGATCAGAGCAAGAAGGGCAGGTACGAGGGGGAACCTGAGCTGGGTCTCAGGAGACCTGCGTTTGGTTCTGGGGTTGCCATCCACAACCCTGTGCCTTCAGGCACATCTTGAGCCTTTTATGTTCAACCTTTCTGTTTCATAAAATGTGCTGGAAGAAATGATTAGTTTGGGTTCTCTCCAAGTGCTTAAATGTTTTTGCTTTATTCACAGAGATAAATATAATGTCAAGGACATGTACTCACAGAGGGCAGCAGAGAACTGACAAAATGAGGGGTGGGAGGAACGCAGAGATTCAGAAGGATGCTGAAGGGTGTGGAGATGAGAGTTCATGGCTACAGAGTTAGCGGCTCTGGTTTCTTGAGATGGCTTTGTATGCAATGCCCTTCGTGACCGTGGGTAAGAAATTAAAACTTTCTGGGCATCCCTTTCTCCATCTATTAAACAAAGGGACCTGACTAGCTAGCATCTAAGTGTCGTTAATGCTAAAACCCTCTGCAGACTCTTAGCTTAATTTTTTTCTTCTCCAAAAATACTCAGAAAGTCACTGTACAGTTAGTATTTTATGATAGAAATAAAAATCACATTGATTTAAAAGCTGTAGTAATGAAACTTGTTTCTTCCACTTTCACTCCTGGTTTTTCATTCCTTCCAGAAAATAAGAACATGCTGGCTTTGGTTTTATTTTATGTGTGTGCTTATGAATGGTCTCTTTTTTTAGACAATAAGATTTCCAGGGGCAGGAACCACGTCTCTGAATCTTGCATCTAGTGCAAGTCCAAACATGTAATAGCCACTTGGAGAATTTGCTGAATTGACTCTACCTCAGTTAAAGCTTTCCCTGTACTGTTGATGTCATTCCCTAATAATTTAAAAAGCATCAGCCTTATCCTCATCGTTATTGATATGTATTATTACTTTGTGATGCCATAGGTCAGTGCAAAAAGGTGCTTCTTTGGGTAAGGAAGACCAGGCATCTTTTGAGAATGGATTGTGTGAACAAGTCTAGATTCTGGAGTCTTGTATGTGTCTGTGAGTTTCAGGACGAAAGGGGCAGTGAGACAAGTCGGGGAGAAGGGATTGCAATGCATAATGGGTCCCTTGGGCCAGTTCAGTTCCTGAGAGGAAGCATTCTCTCCCCGACGTGGGGAGCAGTGCAGCACGGATGGGGAACCGAAGTATTTCATTGATAAAAACGCCAGGAAAATGCACTGAGTTAAGGGAGACAAAGAGGACGGGATGAAGCCCCGCAAAGACTGGGCCCATGCAGTGCAGGGAAGCTCAGGAGCCCTTCCTTGTCCTTGGGATGCCTTCTGGATTCAGTGTCTGTAAGACATCAGAGAGAATATTGTACATCCAGCCAAGCGGTAATTGCACAGCCCACACACACTTTGAATTAGGATCCATTAAAAATAATGGGAAAGAGTGACAACATGAGTTTGGGTGTGCAAGGAGGTGTAACAGGGGAGAGTTAGAGAGATGGGTAAGTTCTCCCTTTTAATGATAATTAATGTCGGCATCTGCTGCTGCTGGGAGCCGGCTCTGGTCTGTATTCATGAGGTGGAGGAGGGTATTGATTTTTTTATGGAGACGCTGTAGCTGAAAATTTTAGAGAGGCTTCATGTTCCCCATTAATATGCAGGCTGGGTAGTGGCTACTGGTAGTTGGGTTTAAGACACAGACAATCTATACTGGCCGTTAAAGGAACCACAGTCTTATGGGCACATCTATTCAGGTTCGCCCTGTTTTAAACATTCTACCCAGCAGTTGCACCTTAAAATGCAGTGCTTAATTGAATAGATTTGAGGACTTTAAAAGAGGTGATTATTTTATTCTTCAAAAGTTGATGGCTTAATTTCCTAAATCCCACGATTTATATTGTTATATACTATAAACCCATTTTTTTATGACATATTTTCTTTGGCACTTGTTTTCTTCTTGTTTTAACCTCTTGCCTTTTTTTTTTTTTTTTCCTTCACATCATCCAGCTGTCCCAAGTTTTGTATTGTTCCAAGATACCCAAGAAAACCAGAAAAGATTATTTCTATTTATTTCTATTTACTTAGGCCATCAATGGAAATGACTGCAGCCCACTCAGGAAATCTTTATTTTGAGATCTTGTGAGCACTCTCCTCTACTCTAATTAAGTCTCTTTCTGGCTTCCATTGTCATTATTTCAGTTATGGGAGCTTAATTTGAACAGGAAGTAAATGCACTTAACACCCCATTTTTTTTTTTCTGTCCTGAAAGCTATAGAAAGAAGAAAGGCAAGCTTAGAAAGAGGGCATGTTCTCATTTGGTTGTTGCTTAATGTTCGCTTGAGAAGTGATGCTATTAATTCTCAGAATGGAGAAGGCGGACAGGGAGCTGAGCTTGCTGAAAACAGCGGGTGGAGAGCCACACGGCTTTCTAATTCCTCCAGAGACATTATTGTGCTTGCAGTGCTATGAATTCCCACAATATCAGCCGTCCACATTTAAATGTAAGCAGAAGAACACATTTCAAAACAGACAGAGTGCTTTTGGCAGTAAAGCTCTTTTAAAATTATCCATAACTCGATTTCTCCATTAGCACACTTAATAAAGACTTGGCTTTGTCTAGTGGTGACATGGGCTGTTTTTTTCTCAAGCATATAAAACTCTAGTTATTTTAACTATGGTGACAGCTATTTTTTAAAAGCTGCTGGGTTCATTCTTACCGAAGGCTCCTTGCCTGCAAACTGAGGCACGGGGCACTGGGCCGTTGCCTGCCATTCAGCATAGCGGTCTCTGCAGAAGGTGACGTTGTGTAGCAAGAGGCTCTCGGGAGTTTGTCCTCGAACCATCCGACTTACCATTAAAAACAAAACAAAACCCCAAAATTTAAAATTGATTCTGTGCAGTTTTGTGATACCACAGGTATATATTCTACAATGGGCCCTAGAATAACACTTCTACTGTCTCGCAATGGGCTATCATTCATTCATTTCCCTTAACATCTTTAAAAATGGGAATTTAAGAACCTTCGAGTAACTTTGAAGATCCCAGAAAAGAAGTGCCTCTCTGTGGTGTCCCGTGTTAAATTGAAAATGTCTGCATTGGAGAATTTATAATGAAGGGAAATTGTTTGAACACATCCTTTTGTAGACTGTTGAATTTAATTAGGTCACATCTTGTCCTGATTGCTGATTCGGGCTAATTGGTTAACTTTGTACTATTTGGGTCTTTTGCAGATTTGTTTAACTTCCACCCTTCTTGGTTTGTTTCTGAGCACCTGAAGTTTTCAAGTGAAGGAGTCAAAAGAAGTACCTTGAATGATGATGTGCTTTTCCCCAGTGACCACTGTCAGGCTTAGCGTTTGACAGGGTCAGAAGAGGTCAGTGTGAAGTGTCTCTTCAGGACTACACTGACGAATTTGAGAGTGAGAAAGGAAACCGAAGGAGGAATGTGAGCAGAGCACTAGATCGAGAGTCCTGTGATTATATTTGCCACAAACGCGGCACTGAGCGACCTTTGATCGGTAGGTTTGGTACCAGCTCTTCGGTTTACCCATTGGTGTCCAGGCTGCAAAGCAGAAGACAGTGCGGTCGTGTAATCTGGGAGCTGCTCCGTTCCTAAGTGTTTATGGATAAAATACCTGGACTTATTTGTGAGAAACATGATACTCACGACAGAGAGACTTGAGCATCACACAGGCTCTTGTCCTGGGTAGCCTGTGGGAACCATGTGCCCTTCTGCATCATAGTACGTGGGGAAGGGAGCGGCCACAGCTTTGGAAACAGCCTGGAGAACTGGCATCTTGGCCTTTGTTCCAGTCTGTTTATGGAAACCATCCAAACTTGATAACATCCCTTTGAGTTAGATGAGCAAAACTATCACTGAATCTCCCACGAGCAATTGATGCCCAGACACAGGAAGGTGAATAATAAATGGGAGCTGGAGGAGAAGAATCTGTAAATTTTAACACCTTCATGCTCAGGCATTAGGCAACATTCCCTGTATTGTCTAAAGAAACCTCAGGACATTCCACAAATGCAGTATCTTTTTAAAAATTTAAAATGTTTAATGTCTTCATCTCTGCCACCCCATAATAGGAAGATTAGCGGGCTTTAACACATTCCAATAATCCTACTTTGCTTGGAATTTGCAAATTACTTTTTGCTGTAAACAGTAGCTGTAAAATACTTCAAGCTGAGAAGATTAAATGAGGCCCTTATCCTAAAATAAGCCTTTCAACTAAGTTAAAGTGACTAAAAATTTCATCTTATGAAATGTGGTATTTGGATATTAAAAAATATCTCCAGTGAAGCGCTGCCCATTGAAATCCTCTCGTTCTTGGACAATGCGCCAGGGTGCGAGCGCAGCGGCAGTGCGCTGGGGCTGGCGGCGCACGCCTAATTCCTGCGCAGAGACGTCTAGGCCCAGGTGGGTTAGGAGGAGCCTCTCAGAGGTGCTACGGGGGTTGACACCTGGCATCAGGAGAAGAATCGAGGACAAGAAGGGACTGACAATCTCCGGGGTGAAACCCTTGGGGACTACCCCCTCTTCAAGATATGTATGAATGATCAGGGTAAGGGGTTGATCACACATTCAGAGAAGGCAGTTGCATATATTTTAAATCCAAAAGAGTCTAGAAAGCCTTCGTCAGGCAGCAGCAGCAACGCGAGGGTTGACTGACTGGATTCCTAAGGATCAGCAGAGGGTCGGGCAGTTGGCGCAACAGGTCCCCGGGGCCAAGTCTTCCTTCCTCGGTGTCTGTGTGTCAGACAAGCTATGGACAGCGGGGGAGGTCATGGGCGTAGGAGCGACAATAGCAGAGGTATGACCCCCTCCTAGGGGCGGGGCCGAGGTAGAAGGAACATCTATTCTGAGGGGAATCGGAGGATGCGGTGACTTGCTGATGGGCGCGTCCAAAAGAGCTGGCATTGGGCCCCCGAGGCCACAGTCGCTCTGCGGTGCCGCTCGCGCAGCTGTGTGTTTGTTCTTCCAGATCTGGGCAGCGCAGGGCCCGGCTCAGGGACCAGGCCCCGCGGCGCTCGGCAGCTGCGAAGAGGGGAGGTGGCGGCGCAGGAGGGGTTCTGCCGGCGCAGCGCGAGGCGTTGGCCGCAGCCCGGCCGCGTTCCGCCAGATGTCGAGGAGGCCTGTTTAATTCTTGAAAATGAAGACCCATTCTTCAGGGCTCGTTACCGGTAAAGGTTTAGTTGTCTGAAAACTGGCATCCTAGGTCTGACTCTGCCATTTATTTGTCATGGGGCCTTAAGCAAATCAATTAACTCACTGAGCATCTGTTTCCTTCCTCTTGACAAAAGGAGGGAAACAGCATGCACCGTCTCTGTTGGACAGGAGTGTTGTCGGGGTCAAATTGATCGTGCGTATGAATGTGCTTTGCAAATGGTGAAATGGGAAAAAAAAGGCACCAATTTATGAAATAACTAATATGGGGCTAGTTACTTTATAGATATCAATTCATTATCTGGTCCAAAACTATTTTGTTAATATTTAAAAAATTGAAAACGTTATATTGGGGAGTGTTATACTTCAGGTACTATTCTAGCTTCTTGATGAAGAGGGTTAACAGTGCCAGGCAGGTACTGGATGCCAGAACAGCATTTATGGGATGTTTGAGGTCAGAAGGCAAACTGAGGTCCAGAGAATTTAAAGGGCCAGCCAGGTGGAACATCTCCTATGGCAGCCACCCCCCCACCCCCCACAGTGGGTTTCCTGGTGGATGGCGTTGATCGAGCAAGGTGTCAAAAATGTGTATCCCGACTAATGTCACGTAAATTTGGTTGTAGAAATAGGTTCTGAATGAAACATACATATATTGTCATCCACCTTCCTTACAATTCCTACATTTTATAAACACTACAAGGCACCCCAACAGAGTTAGCTAGGAAAAATAAATACAATATTTCAACAACTATGCTGCTTATTTTCTGTCTTACTAAAAAAGGTACATACAGTGAATTTGCCACACTGAATGTGCTTTTTTGTGTGATCTATGTGTCCTTTGGTCCCCTGCATGTCATGTTGCTTCATCCAAAGGACTTTCTAAGATTATTTTGAGGTTCACAGAGATAAAATCTTACATACTGAGCACAGTATGGACTTACCCTGCCCCGTGGAAAGCCAGACTGATAAAGAAGATGATGAAAACGTGGTGTGTATACCAGAACAACTCGTAGGAGATCTGTCTAATGAACTCGGTGGAAGAGGTCATGATCAAGATTAAAGCCAGAGAGATCATCAGGCCTGTACTGCCCGCGATTGTTGTTAGCAACTCGGTGGCTGGGTTCTGAAAGAAACAGACACCAGGACACTGATATCTTAGTTCTAATTTCCCATTTCAGGACCAATCTTTGAGAGTCCAAGCAAGGAGCAATTCAAAAGGTTCTAATCAGACACACACACAGGGTGGGACAAAAGTAGCTTACAGTTGTTCATATGGAAAACAATACAATAAATAATAATACAAAAATAAACTGTTTCTTGTACTCACACTATAAACCTACTGCCCCCCCCTCCACCTTGTATTAGTTTCAAAATGATCCCCATGCAACTCAAGAAGTGAGCACCTTTGCCCTTTCCTCTCTCCCATCTGATGGTGGACAGTAACGTTGTGAAAATTTCATTAAATGCATTCATTAATTTCATTTTTTTATCTGAATAAATCAATTTTTTTGGTCAAAGTGACTATGTTGAACTGAAATTAAGACAATATATAAAAATCCACCTTAAGATAAAATGTTGTAAAATAAATCTGAGTTTCAAGTTCTTAATTTTTAAAATAAAACTGGATCATTTTGCTTAATTGCACTTTAACATTAAGAAACCCTTTATTTTGGACTTCTGGTCTAAATGGAGGTGTAGGTAGATACGCTTAGCCTCCTTGTGCAACCACAGAGAGAATTACAAATAAACTTCAAGAAAAATAACACCCAGAACTGTCAGAAAATTGAACTGTATGGAAGTCCAACAACCAAGAATGTAAAGAAGCCACAGTCATCCAGATTGGAGGGGCAGAGACATGGAGACAGGCAGAGAGGTGAGGAGATGGGTGGGCCCACACTCACATATGGCGGATCAAAATTGGGAGGGATACCTTGGGAGCTAGCGATCCAGCCCCAGGACAGACTGCACAGCCCAGGGTTCCAGTGCTGGGAAGATAAATCCCCATAACTCCTGGCTGCAAAATTCAGTGTGGTTTGGGGTAATGTAAGAAACTGCTGGGTTTTCAGGAGACTCCATTTAAAGGACCCACAGAGTCTTAGAATGTATGCAGACACACCCACTCTAGGATTCAGCGCAAGAGCAACCTCTGGAAGGGCTTCGGTTGCATACGGAGAGTGGTTGAAGTAGCTGGAAATGGGGCGAGTGCCAGGCAAACCTCTAGAAGCCAGGCAGAGGCACTGTCCCTCTCTAAGACCTCCCCTAACACAGAGCCACAAAGTGGTGAAGCGCATTGCCCCATCCTGGCAGTTACCTAAGGCTCTGCCCCATAAAATTTACAGGTGCCTTTTCTATAATAGGCTACACTACTGCAACAGGGAGTCAAAGCAGCTCTACCTGATACACAGAAACAAACACAGGGAGGCTGCCAAATGAGGAGACAGAGAAATATGCCTCAAATGAAAGAAGAGAACAAAACCTCAGAAAAAAACCTAAATGAAATGGAGATAACCAACCTATCAGATGCAGAGTTCAAAACACTGATGATTAGGCTGCTCAAAGAACTCACTGATTATGGTACCAAAATAAAGGAAGAAATGAAGACTACACTAAATGAAATAAAGAAAAATCTATAGGGGACCAACAGTGAAGGGGAGGAAGTGTGATTCAAATCAACGATTTGGAACGTAAGGAAGAGATAAGCATTAAACCAGAACAGCAAGAAGAAAAAAGAATTTTTTAAAAAGTAGGATAGTATAAGAAGCCTCTGGGACATCTCCAAATGTAGCAACATCCAAATCATAGGGGTTCCAGAAGGAGAAGAAGAAAAGCAAGACATTGAAAACTTATTTGAAGAAATAATGAAAGAAAACTTCCTTAATTTGGTGAAGGAAATAGACATATAAGTCCAGGACCCACAAAGAGTCCCAAACAAGTTGGACCCAAAGAGGAGCATATGAAGACATAGCATAATTAAAGTGCCAAAGGTTAAAGATAAAGAGAGAATCTTAAAAGCAGCGAGAGAAAACAGAGAGTTATCTACAAAGGGGTTCCCATAAGACTCTCAGCTGATTTCTCAAAAGAAACTTTGCAGGCAAGAAGGGACTGGCAAGAAGTATTCAAAGTCATGAAAAGCAAGGACCTACAGCCTAGATTACTCTATCCAGCAAATTTCTCATTTAGAATGAAAGGGTGGGTAAAGTGCTTCCCAGACAAGGTAAAGCTAAAGGAGTTCACCATCACCAAGCCCTTATTACATGAAATATTAAGGAGACTTATTTAAGAAAAAGAAGATCAAAACTGTGAACATTAAAATGGTAACAAATTCACAACTATCAACAACTGAATCTAAAAAAAAGCAGACTAAGCAAACAACCAGAACAGGAACAGAATCATAGATATGGAGGTCCCTTGGAGGGTTACCCACTGGGAGGGGGAATGGAGAGAATGTGGTAAAGGTGCAGGGATGTAGAAATGTAATCGGTAGGTGCAAAATAGACAGGGGGAGGTTAAGAGTAATATAGAAAATGGAGACGCCAAAGACCTTGTATGTACAACCCATGGACAGGAACTAAGGGGGGTACCAGGCAGAGGGAGGCAAAGGAGGAAAACTGGGGCAACTGTAATAGCATCATCAATAGAATATATATTAAAAAAAGAAACCCTTTTTCTGAGGGGCCCCTTAGAAGCATTCCAAATAAAGCAGCTGAACACTCTGTTCCTCTGGTAGTTAGTTACTCCTGGCTTTTGCTTTTTAATTGGAAGGACGATGACTTGCATTTCTTTCATGCCACCTCAGGAGGCTTGGCATAAGACTTTGTAAATCCTAGGTGATCAATAAAGATACAGCTATTCTTATCTGGTATACACTGCCCAAAGGCTGGAATTCTGACCTGTGAGTTCAGGGGATGGTTAAATAGCCTTTTAGAATATAAATCACAAAGCATTTTGTTTTTGTTGTAAATTTCCCATATTCTTGTCAAGTCATTAGTATTCATACATTGTGTTACTATCGTTGAGAAGACCATGAGCTTAATAAACTCACGCTGTATCTTTTGTCAGTAAAATCCCATTAATTTGGGTTGCTTTGAGATCCCCAGGTAATTTGGACAGGGACATCTCTGATGTTTATTTCTTTTCATAGAGCAAACAGTGGAAGTAAAATAGAAAGGGTATGTATAAAACATGTAAAAGGTTTTTTTCAAGTGTACTCACACAATTTAGAAATCCATTTACATCATATGATACGCTAATTTTAAACCATTCCTTGTTGCTTATTAAAGCAAATCCCTGCTTCCCTTTTTCCTGCCCCATACTTATAGACTGGTTTGAGCTGCAATGTATCCACTAAAATAATCCCATTGCATCTGCTTAGAAATACTCTATAAAGCACACTTTGTGTTACTGATACTCATCGTTCTCCAAATACCCCAAATTAGAGGGTTTCCTGGACTTAATTAGTGCTTACATAGTAGATTACTTTTGAAATTTTTAAATAACTATATTGGAAGTAACTTAATCATGTGGTTAAATTGCTTTAAAAGTATTTACGATAAATGTTATTTACTCTATAGTGTGTTTCTGTGTAGCAGTGAACTTTCCAGAGCCTTAGCGGAGAAAACCGTTAACCCCATAGGTGCCCAGATGAATGCTGTGGCTCGACTCAGTCCACCGGGGAGTGCCCGCAGGGCGAGGGCGTCTGTAGTTCTGGCGGATAACTGAAACGTGTGCTTTCACCTGTTGCCAGCTAAGAAAGGAGAACTCCATTTGATCGATGGCCTGATGTTGGAAATCATCTTAGGATAATTAGGGGACATGACATGGAAGGATTTCCCCCAAAAGAGACTTTGGATGTTGTTTCTTCAAAAAACATTGTATGGAAAAGATGGTCCAAGATGGCTGGCAATGGAGAGATTTCCATTTCTGGAGTGTATAGTCATAGGGCTCTTCTCGGGCAATGTAGACTTTTTAACCAACCTGATTCATGTTCTGGATGCATAATATGGTAGTAAATGGCCAAGGTTTAGATCAACTAGGCAGAGAGGTAGGGGGTAGATTAAGTGAGAGAAATGTCTTAATCTCTCTACAGACAGATTGCTGTGGCTACATGTTTGGGGTTTTTGGGTTTGTTTTTTTTTTTGTTTCCCACATGGGTTGCCACTCTGTGCACAGAGACAATGAGATTTCATGATGTCACTAGCCATGCAGGTTTCACTGTGAAATGGGCTATTTTGCCCAGCATCTGATTTGGAGAACCAGCTGGTCACATGTGTGCCAAAATATGACACAGGAGAATAGATCTAGAAAACAAGTAGCAAATTGAAAATGAAGACACCTGATTTATAATTGCTGGATTTATATGACATTTTGCATTCTTTATGATTCCAACAGCTTGTGGTATATATACATTTCATATGTGCATGTGTGCATGTATACACACCCTCCCCCCCACAAGCTGGTTTTAAAATTTAAAATATTAGAAATTTAACAGGTTACTTCATTTCCTGTTTAGGCATTACTATTATTATTATTAATTATTATTATTATTTTTGCTATACACAAATTAAGTGCCATCAGTTTTTTCTCTTTGCTCATAACCTCTTAGCAACATTAACGGCAGAAAAAAATAACTTATTTTTAAAAAGTGAAGTTAATGTTAACATTTGACAGAAAAGCCTTCTCTGGAGCTTTTTGTTAGAAGTTTTGTAAGCGTTCCTGATTGTAAAAGGAGTCATGAAGGGAAGGGTTTTTCAGATGCAAAAGTAAGCAGTGCGCACGAACTCACTGTGTGAAAGGTCCGGAGGGGGTTGAGGTAGCTCTCATTGGAGGTGTCGCCAAGGTGGGAAAGGGCAGCCACAAGGCCCTCTGCTTCCGCGGACCGACTCCAGCGGTAGCGCTCCAGGTTGCACAAGTGCGCCACAGTGTGGATGCCTACAGACAAGCAGGCAAGAGGGGACATGCACCGCATGGATTTCTTCCTTTGTAGTTCCTCAACAACACAATGACTACATGGTTAAGTCTTTCTGTTATGGTTTTGTAATCTCCAAGGCAGAGAGAATTGTACATACATCGTCCTCAGTATCTTAAATGGAATGAATTGAGTGTTGCCTGAGATATTGTATAATTTTCCGTGTTCATACTAATTAAGAGATGCAGTAAATCTCAGTTTGCCAAAATATAATTTTAAACACGTGATCATTCTGGAAGTGGAATAGGTATTGTTATCACAACATAATTATGAAAAAACTTATTTCCCAAGAAATCAGAAAAGATTTTTAGAATACTGTACCTCATACACACTCATATACGAGGTCTGTCCAGTAAAAGTCCAGCCATTGTTTATATAATGAGAATGGTTTGCACGACATCAATGTAACCTGGCAGCCAAAGAGAGTGGACTGGAATGCTCATGAGCATGTGTGAACAATGACGACTTCACTGTACTAGTCAGTAGAGCTGGTAGACACCATTGAGTGAGCATGTGTACTGTGTGGCTGTTGCATTCAAAATGACTGAACAAGTGGAGCAACAAATCTGCATCAAATTTGCATTAAGCTTGTAAATTCCTCTGCAGAAACTATTTGAATGATTCAGAAGGTCACAGCTATGGGCAACTGGTGATTTGCAGCTTCATCATGACAATACATCCTCTCATGCGTCATGTCTTGTGCAGAGTTTTTTGGTGACACATCAAATTACCCAGGTGACTCAGCCTCCTTACAGCTCAGATTTGGTGCCTTGTGACTTCTGGCTTTTCCCAAAACTAAAATCACCTTTGAAAGGGAAGAGATTTCAGACCATCAATGAGATTCAGGAAAATAAGATGGGGCAGTTGATGGCTATTGGGAGAACTGTGTGAGGTCTCCAGGGGCCTACTTTGAAGGGGACTGAGGCGTCATTGTCCTATGTACAATGTTTCTTGCATCTTAGAGCTTTTTCAATAAATATTTCTTATTTTTCACAGTATGTGGGTGGATACTTTCTGGACAGACCTCATATGTGCATGATATATGATTTATATGGTAGATACCGAGGGAGATATTGTTTTCATTCCACTTCAAATGAAATATTGCATCTTTTTACCTTTTATATTTTAGTATGTGTGTATATATATATATATATATATATACTTACTCATATACAAACACACAGATGATTGCATGTGTTATTCTTAGTAGATTAAAATAAGCCACTATTTATGGAACTAAACATCTCTGTATGTTCTTTTTGCTTGTTGTTTTGTTTTGACCTTGGACTTCTAGCCTCAAGAATTTATTATGAGACAACAAATTTCTATTGTTTAAGCCACTCAGTTTGTGGTTTTGTTAGGGCAGCCCCAGAAAATTAATATACATGTACCTTCCTCTCAAAACTCAAAAAAAAGACCCCAAAACACACTAGAATTTGGAAAAGTGGTCAGAAACAAATAGATTCATTCACAGAGCATGTTAACATTATGTAGGTAGCACACATGGGACAAAAAGATGTGCTGTAGAAGATGTTGACAAAAAGCCTGAAGTTAATGCAAAGGGGAAAAAAGAATATTTTTCAAAATAGAGGTCATAATTGTATTTTAAAACCAATTTAAATCACCTTTGATATGTTTCTTTAAATGAAGAAAGCTTTTAATACATGCTAGTTATTGCCATTTTGTTATTTATATATTTTATTTATTTTTTTCTTCTTCTTAAAGAAGACCCCTTAACATTTCTTATAACACTGGTTTGGTGATGATGAACTCCTTTAGCTTTTTCTTGTTTGGGTAGGTCTTTATCTGTCCTTCAATCCTAAATGATAGCTATAGGACATATGGATTATCTTGGTTGTATGTCCTTGTTTTTTATCACTTTGAATGTTTTGTGCCAGTCCCTTCTGGTGTGCAGTTTCTGTTAAGAAATCATCTGACAATCTATGGGTGCTCCCTAGTAGGTAACTAACTGCTTTTTTCTTGTGGCTTTTAAGATTCTCTCTTTATCTTTAACCTTTGGCATTTTAATTATGATGTGTCTTGGAGTGGACCTATTTGGGTTCATCTTTTTTGGGATTTTCTGTGCTTCCTGGACTTGTATGTCTGTTTTCTTCAGCAGGTTAGGGAAATTCTCTATCATTATTTTCCGACTAGGTTTTCAATTTCTTGCTCTCTCTCTCTCCTCCTTCTGGCACCCCCATGATGTGAATGTTGGTATGCTTGAAGTTGTCCCAGAAGCTCCTTACACTATCCTCAATTTTTTGGATTCTTTTTTCTTTTTGCTGTTCTAATTGGGTGTTTTCTGTTTCCTTAAATTCCAAATTGCTTATTTGATTCTCTGTTTCATCTATTCTACCGTTGATTCCCTATAATATATTCTTCCTTTTAGTTAGTGCATTACCATTACTGACTGGTTCTTTTATTATTTTGTTTATGGTTTCCATGCCCACTTCTTTTAATGCTGTTTAAGTTCTTACTAAGTTCCTTGAGCATCTTGGACTTTGTGTCTGGTAGTTTGCTTGCCTCCATTTCATGCAGTTCTTTTTCTGGAGATTTCTCCTATTTCATTTTGGACCTGTTTCTTTGCATCTTCATTTTGGTTGCTTACCTGTGTTTGTTTCTATGTATTAGTCAGAGTTGCTACATCTCCAAGACTAGGCAGATTGGCCTTATGTAGTAGGTGTCCTGAAGGGCCTAGAGGCACAGCCTACCCTGTCAACTCAGCTGGGTGCTCCAGGTGTGCCCCCTGTGTGGGCTGTGTTCATCCTCTTGTTGTAGTTGAGCCTTGATTGTTCTTGGCACATCACTGGGAGGGATTGACTCCCAGGCTGATCAGCTGGGGAGACCATCTGCAACTACAGCGAAAGGGCTGCAGTGCAGGAGCTGCCCCCAGGGAGCAGCACATGCCCACCTGGGGCTTTGGCATCGACCCATGAGTGTGTCACTAACAGAGGTGGTTATGTTGTAATACAACATGGTCTGAAGCTGTCTACCAGGCGTACTGGCTCTGGTGCCTCCCGAAAAGTGCAGGTCAAGGTGAGTCACTACCTGTACCCTGCCTGGGGCCACCTGGCATGAGCTACAGAGCAATCTGCAGATGGCTGCTACTTGTGCTGGGCGTGGAGGTGCCTAGGAGAGGCCAAGTTTCAAACGAAGACTCGCTGCCCCTCGTGCCAAACCTGGGGCCACTTAGCAAGAGGTATGAGGCCAGATGCTGCTTGTTTGAGAGATTTTAGGAAAGTCTGACGCATGAGCCAATAAAGAACTAAGGGGCTAAACAAGAGCTAAACAAGGGACTGCCTTGTTTAGTCTCAGCATCCACAAAGCCAGAAGAACTTATCTAGGAGTAGTCTCTTCCTGTAAGCTATACGTAAAATAGGCACTATTTGCTAAATTAAACGCAAACATTGCCCAGTATTCCTAATCTCTGGTTTTCTGATAATTACTTTAATGTTTAAAAAAACAGATAATGTTTCTCATAGCTAACCTATATTTAAGCTTATCTTCTGAACACTGTTATAAATGCTTTAAACGTATTATCTCACTTAATCCTCAGGTATTAGCCTTATTCCCCTTTTACCAACCACTATTCAAAACATTAAGGAAGTTGCAATTTATTAATGGCAAAGGCGGGCTTAAACCCTGTTTTCCTGACTCCAGAGCCCCATCATTTGATCTTTAAGTTATACCGATTCTTTTCATTAATCGATGGTTGTTACACCTTGCTTTTTAATGAAAACTGCTATCTCCCATGGGCTTCGCTGAAACTCTTTGCATGTTTACCTGGTATCTTTAATCTAGAGTCAGTAGGCTAAGGCTGTTTGGAGCCATGATTGTGGCTGGGTGTAAACGTTATTTTCACACCCCATCCTTCTGCCCTCACTTCTCTGCTCTCAGCTTTTTTTTTTTTCCCCCAGCCTCCCTTCCTGGACTAAATAAAACATCCCAGAGAGCAGAGCTGTTCCCATTTTACAGAAATATATACTGGTCTTCAAACCAGACTAAGCGCTATAGTTCCAACTACATAACCCACATGTGACAATCGGGGGGGGGGGGGAGTGCAGAATAAATTCTGTCTTGTATTCTATGTCCTATAACACTCTCTTGTGCAATGAGTTGTTGATCACAATCTGTTTTCTATTAAATTGACTTCCATAGTAGGTTTTTGACACTGTTAAACTAAATTTAAGTATATTTATTCAATGAGCAAAAGTATTGAACTATTTATTTATTATTATTGCGAAGCTTTCCATGACAGAGCTGAAGAAACCAATGAAGTCATGTTAGAAAACCCAAGATACTTTTCAAGAGGTAGCTCCTCAGGGAATCTGTTGAAAATTATTCTTCCAGTTTTTTTCCTGCACTTTAAAATTCATGTCTTAAATGTCCCTTTGCTCTAGCTGCCTCCATCTTGGCGTTTCTTCTTTTTTTCCACAGGTAGAAGATAAACAGTGGAACATCTTATTTCATTTATCTCAGGAATTCTCAGACAGAAAACTGCTCGTGTCCACTTTGTTTGTCTTAACATTTTATTTCTTTGTAAACCTGACTGCAACAATAAAGTTGGGGTCAGATTTACAAAGAAATAAAATGTTATTGTTGTTATCTTGGCTTGGAATTAAAGGTATCCCAGCCCCCAAATCCAGGGCTACTGGGACTTGATGGATGCCAGCAGAGATATTGATTTTGTTCGCTTTCAGACATTATACTCTTGATTCTTCCCTTTATATATTTAAGTCATTTTAATATGAATAGCCGTATCGCCTCTGTTTACGGTGACAGTGGTTTCAAGTATGTGATCAAGTAGTGAAGCGGCTTTGCTTTCCTCCTAAGTCCTCAGAGTCATATCGCGTTATTCGATTTGCTATTACGGAGGAGAAAGCACAGTGAAGAGGGCGCCTCTCAGGCCCGTGGCACTTTCCAGCCTCGGAGGAATGCGGGGACTGAACTGAAGGAACGCTGTCTAAGCTCCCTGCCAGCTGCCTGTCTCCTGTGTCTTGATCTGAAGTTAACCAGGAACATTTATCATCAGAAGGGATCTATAGTCCAATATGAAAGTAATGCAGACATGAAACTCATGCTTTAATATGTGTTCAAAATCAACACTGGCTTAAAGGGGCGTTTAAGTCGTGCGGCAAGGCCAGGGCCACCGACTGCGCAGGCGCACTGGATCTGGTGCCTCTGGGACATCCCGCTGAGGCCCGTGGAAAAGCCCGCAATAAACATTTCCAGAACCCACCCAAATGCTGGGCTAAAGGACGCTATAATTGGGTCTTCCCACAATTTTATTTTCTCACCAAAGTACTTTTACAGTTAAAAGAGACCGGCCATCTTGGCCATCCTACAAATGCACATTTAATTGGTGTGTGAACTTCTGAGTTCAAATAAGGAATTGTATTGAAGAGTGAACAACAAAAAAAATCATATTGGCTACAATTAGAGCCAGTTGCCCTGAGAAAGTCCCCTTTCCTTCTTTCTTTCCTTCTTTTTCTTTTTCAGGAGATCAAAGGACACATAACTGAGGGAGGCTCTTGGAAGGGGGTCAGTTTCTGCCATCTTTCTACCTGCCTGTCAGTGGTAAGAGTCATTGTGGAGCTAGTGACCTCTTAATTACGCAGCTGTTAGAAACAGGGACCCAGGGACAAATCCTGGCTGGCCGACAGCCAGAATCTGGACCCACACTTTTAAATTTGTGGTCTGACTTCTGCAGGAACATGTATTGACTATGGCACCCTGTGCATGCCCCTCGTTTGTAAATCACGTTTAATCCCATTTGGCAGGACCGGGGAGAGTGTCTCCTTGGCGCTCCCAGTGCCTGAAGCAGAGTGGGGTTAGTAGCAGTTCTTCGGGAGCCCAGCCCTGAGACTTAGGGCCTCTGGGCTGTTCTCTATCTACCTTGAGGCGCCAAATCTTTTTTTTTCCCCCTCAGCACCCTCATTCTGAGCTCACTCCCCTTAACCTGTCCCAGATATATTTATTGAGGTTTGTAAATTAATTTTAGCAACTCATCAGGGCACATGGGCAATTGCATGCCCCTGTTAACTGGCAGATGCAAGATGTGGAATTTGCTGGAGAGAGCTGCCTCGGTCACTGTTCGCAGCCCCCTTTGAAGGAGGTTCAGGCTCCGAGTGTTGCTATTCAATTGGAAGGGTCTCCAAGGTCTACTGTGGACCAGAGAGTCCAGAAAGATCTGCATTAATCAGAACGAAGAGGCCGTGAAACTACGATTTTTATACTAAGGGGGTTATAGGTCCCTTGAAATGATTTATTGGTGGCTGAAGAATGCTCCGGCGGCTCTTATCAGAGGCAGGCACGCAGGAAGGCAGGAAACCAGAAAGCCGAAAGGAGAAGAGTTCCTGTCGCTGCGTTTTCGGTGATGCCCTTGATTATAGATACCATTGTTTCCCTCTTCGCACCTCCTCCTCCCAGCCCGCTTCCACCAGGCTCTAATTACATCCTTTAATGATTTGACCAATTAAAGCCTGCAGCTCAGCTGAGAGGGGGACGGGGCGAAATTAGAGGCTGGCGCGCAAACCTCGGTGCGGGTGCGCCTCTTCCAAGGTTACGCACGCACCTCTCGGAAGCCAGTCGGCTCTTTGAAAAGCAGCGTCATGGGCGATGCTAATAAAATAAGCACGGGGACATTTTCAGCGGCTCCCAGGTGAATACAGCAGAAGGACAGAATGTGAAAAGCAAAGACACATCTATGAAATCAGGCCTCGGCATTTCCCCCCCGCCCCCCCTCCTCTAAGAGGGCGGTTGCCAGCCGCCTTTCTGAGTGAATGTGAAATGTAATAATTGCTTTGTCAGGGTTTGGGAGAAGCGGAGCGATTTCTCCCCGGCCGCCTGCCTTCGCCAGGAATGGAAACTCCCGCAGCCGCTGGTTGCCATGGCTGTGGGAGGAGAGGAGCCCGCAGAGCACAGCGGTGGGGGGTCTGGCGGAGGGGGGCTCTCGAGGGGCCTGTGAGGGAAAGCGGGAGAAGTGGCACTCTGCTTTCTCTTCTTGCACCCGAATGCGAATTTATTATCTTGGATGACTAGCGTCATTTTAACTCTCTTGCCTGCACACACCTCTGTTTTCTGCACCCGGCACTGCTCCGGGCTCCCTGAAGGATTCCCGCACCTCCTGTCTTGTACCTTTCCCAGTAATACCTTCAGTCTCTTTTGCCTGCTGATCGATGCCTGTTCATCCGCAGGTGTGACGGAGTTTGCTGAGGACTCTTAGGACCCAAGACGCATAGGCACAGTCTCAGCCCTTGGGGTAATCAGGGTCTGAGAAATTTCCCCCTGTGGTAGGAGTGAGACTGTGGCCCCCAGGCGAGGGGGACGGATAGCCCAGCCCTGGCGGGCCTGGGGCAGGCAGACCAGGCAAGGGGTCCTGGATGAGGGGTCGTCCTACCCAGCGGAGAAGGAGAGGAATAGCATTTCGGAGACAGGGAATAGCAAGAAGGAAGGCACAGGCTCCTTGGGGACTGTCTGTAGCTGAGTACACTCAGGGGTAGAAGCAGAAGAGTGTGGGGAGAGATGAGGCTGGAGCAGAGGGCCCGGCTTGATGCGCGGAGCCCTCCCCCCACGCTAAACGTGGATTTGATTCTCTTTGCAACCAGCGGTGAGTGCGTGACCTTGTAGTCTGTAGATTTCTAAGAGGTCCATTCCTGACAACTAGTCTGCGCAGCTCTCAGAGATGGATACATTGTATCAGTGTTCTTTTAATTCCACCGATGGAAGGGCCTAAGGAATTTATCCCAGGTCACACAACCAGCCTCCTGCTGCAGGGGTATACGAGAACCTGCCTCTAGTCGACAGCTGCCCCTACTAAATTATACTCCATTATGAACAGCACTGACTACTCATGTTTGAGAAGATTTTTGCCCCTACCAGAATATCTTGCAAGTGAAAGCCATTTGATACACATCACTTAGACATTTATACTATTGATACATGATTACATATAGAGAAATTTACATGCCCAAATGTTTAAGGAGAAACCTATTTCATAACATTTTTCTCTTGTTCTTTGCTTTCTTTTTTGATGTGTTTTGATGCTATGGGTTTTGTTGTTGTTGTTGTTGTTCCTTCTGTTTATAGTGTCTTTATAACTTTTTCTTAGAGTCCAATTCTGTCTTTCAGTGACTACGTGGTGATTTTATCCTTCCTGCCACTTTACTGTCTTCTATTGCCTCTTTCAATGCAGGAATTAAGGATGCTTAAGTTTTGAAGGAAGCTTAGAGATCTCTTGAATTCCTTCTCTGAAGAACCTTCTAAGGAGCAATCTTGACTCCACTTGGACACCACCCAGGACAGGGAGCTCAGTACTCTCAGGGGACCCTCATTCTAATTTTAGGTAATTTTCAAGGTCTGGAAAAGACTTCCATTTCTGAGCTGAAATGTTCCCGGAGCCTATATTTTTTCACGCATTCACTCATTTAGCAAAGGTTATTGGCACCTATGTATAGCACTTAGCACGACTGTAAGCCTTGGAGCACAAAAGTGAATTAGCCTTTTTCTTTGCCCTCCATCCCTTAGCTGGTTTTCTCTAGAACATGATGTCGTTTTACCCTATTTCTGAACAAACTACGAAGACCTTTTGCAAACATTTCCTGGGTTGGTTTAATCTGGTATTGAAGGCAGTCGATGGGGAAGTCTGCCCACGTCTCACCACACACCCGAAATTCTGTTAATTGGCACTCGGACACCGTCTGTCATGTTTTGTTGCTTAATTAAATCCACATTTGTTTTGAGTGTTCTTTTCACTCTGCGATCTTTTTATGCATGAGGGGATAAAAGCAAATGAGGAAAACATTGTATAGTTAAATTAGTTTGAGGGAAATAGTCCTGAATCATGTCTTTATTGTTTCGGATAGCCTTTTATTTTAACGTAAATTTTTTGTTCAACAAAACCACAAACTTGTTGGTTATTGTCCCTCTACTTGTCTTTCTCACTAGAGTTTAACCTTGGCCTTGGATGTTGATTTCTAGTGCCCTTCTCTGGAATTCTCTTGTTTTCTAATTCAAGAAATAACAATAACATTTTATATACCTATAAAGCTTCATATCTGTTCAAGATCTTTTTATATTCACTAGCACAGCACTATTCAGAACTTGTTCACATGACCTTACTTTTCTTTTTACTGCCCACGATACCATTTGATAGTCACTGTCTTATGACTGTGAATAAAATTTTGAATATAGGTCAATTTTATTTCTGATGTGAATTATAGTGAATAACAGAATGTTCAGTTTTCAACTAGTCACTTGTCATTGTATTATCAACAAGCGCAATTAGTCACAGATGAAAATGAAGTTTCATAAACTTTTTCTTGAGAAGGCTTGGTAGGGAAAACTGCCTGAATATGAATTAGAAATTTAAAAATCCATTTGTATAAGGTTTATGTGGTCAGATGGAAGGCAAAGATTTTTTTTTTCTTTTACCTAAGAGCGAGCCTTTGGTGAGAGGAAGTAAACAAAACTATCAAGTTAAATATCCAGATTTGTAAAATCCTTCAGTCAATTAATAATAAGCACTTACTTGCATTAACAGCTATTCAATAGGCGACCAGTTTGTGGAATTTGAGGTTTTTGTCTAATTGCCTTCTCCACGGTCCTCTGCAGCACTAGAGTGACAAAAATCAAAGTCTTGCTTTGGGAACCCTCAGAGTGGCGAGTGACATCGGAGTGGGGCAACATGAAACAATCATTAGTGGCCATTAACAAGTCAAACAGGCAAAACCAAATGGTCATTTATTGGCTTTCCTAAAGCTTCACCTGAATAAAAGAAATGACTGTGTTAGTAATATCCAGGCTCTAAGTCAAAACTCTAGAATGAACCTGCTAATATTCATGCTCAGATTATCTGGGAAATGAAGATGGTAGCCCTTACTGTCATTGATATGGGTTAGTAGTTTATAATTATTCCTTCTGACACAAAGAAAGGCACTACACTCATCTACATCTAAATATTCATACAGTTATGAAGATGAGAATATAATAAATTATTTTGTCTACTAAATGTTATTGATGGTCTCGTCTTTCTGTGCAGTGCATTACTCTGTTTTGCGTGAGCCACAGTTGAGCACCCAGCACTGTGAAATCAACATGATTAGGAAAGGTCCCATTATGTCTGGTAGAGGTTAAAGTATTCAGAGTAAAATCTGAGTATTGCGGTTGTGGTCTCTGGTGTTGAGAACTCAGATGTTTCCACTGTGGTCTTTGGCACAACTGTGTGCCTGTCTCCTTTCAATCAGAAATGGTAATAGTTGTAGCTGTTATAACACTGCCATGTTTGTGAATCAGGTCCATTTTATTAGCCCTCCTTTTTCAGATGGAGCCAATATGTCGGGGAAAGTTTGAGCGATGGTCCAATGTCATGCAGCAAGTCAGTGGCAAAAAGAAAAGTTATGTCAGGTGTACCAATTCCTGATTTTCAGTTTTAGCCATTGTGTTCTCTTACAAAGAAACAAAACCTAAACATGATTATTGGGAATTTCATAGTAAAGTCCATCTCTCTTTTCAGTGGCGCTTATATTAGTCATAAAAACTAAAATTATTTCAAATAATTTAGTACTTACAATACTTGCTCCTCTTATGAATGAAAGGAAGTTCCGGCTGATCGGTAATAGAATTAGCATGCAGTTAAAGTTCAGGCAGATTGCAGAGGCTCTTGCCCAAGCCAGTGTCGACTGTCCACATGTAAAGATAAGAGAGTGAGATGCAGTGAAAAAAAGAAGCCCAGAAAGCAGAATGCACTTCACTTTCTGAAATGGTAACGTGTAGTCACCAATTCTACTTACACCCAGAATAACTCGTGTGTAAAGGAAAGACTCTTCCTCTTCATACCAACAGTATGTGTCAATAAACAGATATAAATTAACTCCCAACCATGAGAGCTAGAGAGAAGGAAAAGAGAACCAATCAATACTATCTTTAATCTTTTTTTCCTTTCCAAAATCACTTGAGATTCTCTTTGGGGGTTCAGTTTAAGTAAAATGAGCTTCTCAATATTAATCAGAATTAATCCATATAATTATTTTATAGATTAGATTTTAACAGTAATTATTTTGGTAAGAAATTGTTGCCTTTATAAAAAAGATTTTATACACATATGGGTATGCCTTAAGGCATTTAATGGAAAGTACAAAACCTTCCTAATCAACGTGACTAGACTCTTTTAAGTCAACGATGCCAAGAAGAAGGAGGAACTCTTTAAAAACAACTCAGTGCTCTAGAAAAACTCCAATTTCATAGTCTAATTCAAAGACTTCATTTGATTTAGAGAAACATTCATACATTATGCAAAAACAAACTACTTGACTTTAAAAATAATTAAAAATAAACTCAATCGGAAAACAACTCTACGTGATTATGCAAGGGTAAATTAAACATATATCTACTGAATGTTTTCTAACAAGTTTTAGTCTTTTAATCAGAGTATTACATGACGCTATTTAACATCCCTGTCCAAGCTATCCTAAAACCCAAAGATCATTCAATGTATATATATTTAAAATTAAATAACAGAAATAAAACTTACTACTAATATGACAGAGAGACTCTCATTCAAAATCCAGCACTCCATCACGACAGCTTTGCTCTTTTGCTGTTGGCAAATTATTTCTTTCAATCACCTGAGTTATATGCTTAGTAAGGGCTCCTCTGCTAAATTATTTTGTCTTTTTGTCTTAGGAAGCACCTACTGGGAGCAGCTCTCGAGGAATTTCTAATTAAGGACTTTGTGCCAAATGCACGTCACTGAGCTGACATGCCTCATGACCTGGTTGAATACAAGGCAAGTCTCTGTCTAATGATTCCTTTCTTCAAAGATCTCATAAGAAAAGAAAGCTCATTTTATTAAATTATCCTCATGTACTTTATACCCCATTCATTTTCTACATGATTGCAGTCAAGATGATAATAAGTCTTTATGTAAATTTGAGAAGTAACCTAACTGCTGAAGGTTAGCTACAGCAAAACACTTCACAAGAGCTTTCTCTACTTTGTTTATTTTCTCTTCTTTACTTCCTCCCCCCCTTAAGAAAAACATCTTTTAAAAGATATAGAATGATGTGTAAGTAAATATGAATAAGGCAATCTTTTGGAAGATGGTAAAGAATAAGTAAAAAGGTCTTTTACACAATCGTATAGAAGAGAACTCTCATAAACCTAAAAGTGTGACTCTAAAGAATGAAGTAGATTATATTTGTGGGCTTAATGAAATAAATCCAACTTTTTCTAATCCCACTTGGTGCACCATGAGGTAAATGAGAATTCTTTTATGATTAGTGACCCTAGAAGGCACCGTGTGTGAACGTGGCCATTTTCTGATTTTGTGTGTCATAGTTATTAAACGCAATAACTATAGCAACACTGCTAGTCAGAGTTGCCCCGTTGAAGCAATTTTTTTGGCTAGTCCTGGCCCAAGTATTTTCTTTCAAATTTTGAGACAGTGAAGATGAAAATGGGAGGAGGTTTGGATTATTCAAAAGATTACCTAGGCTTGTTTAATCTTCTATGGTGAATCAATCTATTTAGTTGTCCTAACAGAATTAAAAAAAATTTTTAAATGCTGGTAAAAAATAATTATTATTTATTGACCTAAATAATCAAAATAATCTTAAACCTTATATAAATAATCCAGGTACCAGGTTTAGAACTGTTGAGTATTGCCCAATTAAATCATACATTAACTCTATGAGGTAGGTATTATAAGTTCCATTACACACATGTGAAAACAGGCCCAGTGGAATAACTTGTAGTAGAAGCAGTTGGGACTTGAATTCAGTTCTCTCTTACCTGTGCATCTTTATTTTTAAACACTACCTTATACTGTGTATTTTCTGGAGTATTAACATATGGATTTGTGCATCAAACATGCTTAATATACAGACAGTAATTTCATTCCTATAAATTAGACATATTTAAACCATAGACCTCATTTAGTTTAATTTATTAATTTCAAGTAAATATGTTGTTATATGTGATTAAATATGCATAATTAAATTTCTACATAATGCCAATGAATTATACAAATAGTTTTTCTAGTACATAAACCATGCTTTTTTATTTCTTATATAGACAGACGTCTCCCATATTTGGGGGGCTGTGCCGACAGAGGGCAGGCAGGGGCTGCCCCCTCAGGGCACGCTGATTCCTAGCCATAGCAAACCACTTGCATGAGAAGACGTTGTTGACGAGCAAACAAACCAATCCAGAGCTCATAGGCTCAACCTCTTCCTTTATCAAGTTCTCATCGATTCAACACTCTCTCTGCGCCTCCTCACGCCCAGGCCAGGTACTGGACAACGAGGGACCGCCCTCCAGCCCAAAGTCTATTGAAATTCTTCAAACTATTCAGTCCTAAGTTTGGTCGGCTTACCCACCCTCTCTTGCTCATTCTTTTCTGCAAAAACCACAATGAAGGCTCTGACCCATGCTCTCCCCTTGCCCTTTCAGCCTCCTGAGGGACCCATCTGCTTCCCCATGTGGCCCTGTGTGGCGTGGTGTGCCCCTGCTCTTGGGAGCTATAGGTCACACACTCTTCATTGCAAGCAGATGTCTCCATGTCTACCATCTTACCACATTCCCTTAGAACGAGTTCCATTTGACACACCTGCATTTCTAACCACCCTGAACTTTGGTATCACAGGGTAAACATTTTGATGACCAGGTAAGCTTTCTACTTGTCATCCAGCCCTGACTGTGTTACCTCTTTTGAGCCTTAGTTTTCACATCTGTTGAATGGGGTTAATCATATCTACTTCATAAAGCCAATGCTGTTTCTCCTTCAACTCTGGCTCCCCTGACACATGCACCTGCACCCTGACACCCGTAAACACACCCACCTATACTCACACATAAGATGGTGCCACTTTAGGAGAAATCTTAGATTTGCCAATGACAATTTAGCAAATTTTCTTCTTTTTAGAAAAAAAATCTTTTAAAAGAAACTTCCCCTTCTGGAAAGATATACAAGCAGAGGTATTCTGGCAACGTTAACTTGAGGTTAGAGTGCAGATAGTGAAATATCTTCAGTTGCTTCTTTAACAGTGAGTAATATAAGCCTTCATAGTCATTTCTTTAAGCCAATAATCTTCTGAAATGATTTGTTATTTCTGAAGTGTTTAGGATTTACATATCTTAGAGACCTTATTCAGTTGGGGTATAAAAATTAATTCAGAGAGAATACACCTAGAATTTTTTACTGTCTTGTCTATTTTAGATTCAGTGAGTGTGAGGAAGAGTTGAAATCGTCTAGCCTTCTGTACTTTTCACTCAGCGTTACGAGTGAGAGGCATATATTGCTGAATAATAATGTGTGGTCACTTTTTTTTGTTGATTGCTGAGAATAATTCTGGTGGTAAAAGTAAAATGTAAATGTTTAGATGTAAAAACACATCTTTGCATGCTTCATTCTTATTTCTAAATTGTGTTTATTACTCTTTTGAATATGTAAAGGTACATTGTGTTAAACTATAGCTGTTATTCACTTATAATGTATAATAATGGTGCATTGTTGTATTATGAAAGCTTAAGCCATGGCTTAACTTCAGTGTTTTTTCTTCATAGGTTTTATTTTTGTAGAACTTGCCATGACATTTAGTTCACACATATAAAAACATGTGAACTTCAAATTATATTCAAATTCACCCAGCACTCAACACTTTTGTGCAATTGATGGACATACCTTTACTTCGCACCTTTTTAATTTTCACGTTTAGAAATAATTCGTTAACAGCACTGGTTGGTTTACAATCAAACTTCCTAAGACTCAAGATGATTATACCATATCACACACCCAAGTCCAATTCAGTTCAGCCTCTGAGCTCCTTCCCCGAAACTCTCAGTTGTGATAAAGAAGACAATGTGATCATTCTCCTTAGTCTTAGTTTGCCTCGTGAAAACTCAGGAAAGCCTATCATGCCCCCAACATTGGCCTCAGTTTTTACTTCAGTGAAACAATCTGTACGGATCACAGTTTTAAAGTAAGACTATTTGAATCTGGCCAAGTTAATGGGATTGCACTAAAAAGAGGGGAAATGGTACAAGATCTACTAAAGCAATATAAATGCTCAGAATTTGATCTAGTCTCACCTAATCATTTTCATGGCTTATAAGCAGTGCCCATTTTATTTCTCAGAACAAAGGAAGTGAAATTTGCGTTGTTTCCAAGGTGGGTAGTCTTTCTAATTAAATGGATGTATATACACACATACACTGGCTTTTCCAGCAAACTCACAAAAGACCCGTGGGCTTTCTCCCTTGTAAAGATCACAATAACCAGGTTTCTATAATGAAAAAATAGGAGGGAAACAGAACAAAGATGTTTATAAAGACAGGTCAGTTTCTTGTACATAGGAACACAAACCCTGCTTTGCCTACATATAGTCCTAGACTGGATTTGCTCTATTATATTTTCGTTCTTTTTAGTTTCTTAGTTAAACGGTTGACCCAACAAAGAAACAGTTTGATCTTCAAGGGCAAGATTGATCATCTAGCACAGTTGGCTGCTGCATACTAAAATCTAAGTTCCCTGTGGATAGAAAAGAGTTCCTAGAATACAAAAAGAACATTGACAAATTTTCCTCTTCTAAGCATTAAACATTGGATTTTCCTTTTCCTAAAGCATTTGTATACCTCTAGTTATTAAATTGAAAAGAGATTATTAAAATAAAGAAAAAATACAAGCACATGTAATCTCACACTCTTACCTGGTTATTTTGAGGAGCATTTGTTGTGATAATTGTGTATTTATATTAAATAAATCATATGTTGGGTACATTCCATTTTTAAAAAGAAAATCAGAATAAAAGACAAAAGGTAAGAAAGCTCATACATTAAAACATATTTGATTTTCAAATAAAATTTAATTAAGTAAGTCACCAATACCCTACCTTTTGCTGAATTAAGTATTTTTATTTCAGGAAATGTTGTGGTCTCTTAATACCATTTTTAAATGGCTTGTATTATAAAACTAGTTTACATTATCCAGGTCATGCTTTTTCTCCACCTATGGCATCATTCTTTTATTCATCTCACTATTATATTTCAAAATGAATCCTCACTGAGACCACTGCAGGCATCCATGATGCTAAGCACTGTGCGTGTTAGAGGTCTGTGCTCCATCATTCAGGTGCCTACAGTGTAGGAGGGAGGTGACAGGTACAAGCGCAACAAGGGGCGAAGCTTGTAAAGGTGAGCGCATCCTGCAGTGGCACAAGTTGTACTCCTGGGAGTGCTGAAGCGCAAAGGCGTCGAGGTGAGGGGTTGACTCTCGGGAGAAATCTCCAGAAGTGGCTCACACGTGGTCAAAAATTATATAATGTGGCGAAGAGAAGGGGGAAAATAAGTTTGAGTCTCAGGGTCTATCAAACGGTCACTTGAATGAGCTCCCAAAACATCGAACAGCACACAAAACGTACTCCTGCCTCCAACCTTCTTCCCGTGGTCACTTCCGGTCCGGTTTGCTCAGCCCGGAGGCCTCTGGGGCTGCGTTCTGTTTCCATTCTCCTGCCTCCATCTTTCTCATGTGCACTTATGTTTGCAGTACATTATAGTTCGCAAGTCACCTGAGACCCTCCTCGCAGTCATTTAGAGGGCTGTCACTGCAGGGCATGGACACTGTCA